AATAATTTATTATTTATATATAATCATTAAAAAATAATAATAATCTTATACACCAAAACGGATAACCGGATATCTGAAGAATAATCCGAGTCTATCCGAGTATAATTATTTTTCAGATAGTTTATTTATAAATCCGCATAGGATTCTAAAATTATGCAGATTGTTAGGATTTTAAAGCTACGGATCGCTACTCTACGCTAGCTGACTAATTAATTCATTAAATTCATTAAATTCTTCACTTTTTATATTTATTGTGTAAACTTTAGATACATTTTTCCCGAAGGCACTTAAATTCAAAATTATCTTAATCACCTATTAGATCACAAGTGATATTACCATGGTAAAAAACCCCCATTTTTCGTTTCTAGCAAGCAAAATGAAATTTAAATACATTACCTGTTAGACGACAAGTGATATTACCACTATACAAGCCCCTCCATTTTTCGGCTCTTAGGGTGCCTTGGACTCTTACAACTATTGCATACGGTTCAGTTGACCCTGTATTAATATTTTTTTGCCTACCACCATATACACCATCACAAGATTCATAATCTCCTGCTCCATCACCCCCTATTCGAGTTCCATATTTGTCCTCTGCCCAAAGTCTACATCGAGTGCCACCAAGCATGCCTTTTATGATAATGGCGTTTCCTCCTGTAATTCAAATCAATATGGCCAGAGCTATTAAAATATAGTAAAGAGAAATTATAATATATGCTCAAGAACTTTACCTTCACTGACCGGAAAAAATGCCATAAAGATACAAATGAAGAAAATGGCAAAAGAAAAACTGATTTGAAGTTTCATACTGATTGTAATTAGATTTATGATAACGTTTGAGAAAAACAAAAGTTTGGTATTTTTTTTCTGTATGTAATGATAAAGATTCGATTTTAATGAATCTTGTTTTTTTCTCAGTTGAGGACTAAAATTTACTACTTTTATAGTTAATAGTTCATCTATAACTTTATATAAATTATAATTATAACAGATTCGAATAGTTATAATTTTAAAATACTCGTATAAAAGACACTATGACTGAAATTTAATTAACAAAAAAAAAAAAAAAAAGAACGGCAAAAAAGAAAAAAAAGGGGGAGAATCTACTAAAAGGGACGATCTTTTATATGTCCATTTATGGTAAATTGCTTCTAATCATAATCATAAGTTCGTGAATTTTGCTTACGAAACTGTCTTTTGTGTTATAGCAAAAGAAAAAAAATTCCTTGCAAATTTTGGC